ATATAATAACGTATTCTACTTAATATTATTATTATTTACATATGAACAACTATATTGAAAGCACTGCCAACTGTTTGCCCCTGACTTGTAATTTTGTTGCTTATGTTTGAAATAAATAAATGCAATATTCTTACTGTTGTATTCACTCAATTCATAGTTCAAAGTGCATTCAATTATATTCTTTCGATTTTATTAACTGCAACAGAGAGCAGACTTTGATCGGTTTCTCTATTTCTAATAGAAAACAGCTTAGCCAACTCGGGCTGACGACTATCTTAATTATTACTGTTCAGCACTAAAACAAGTCTTAGACACTTGTCACATGACGAAGCATCTCTCTTTTCATAAGAATCTACGAAACCACAGAACCTCTCTCTGTAATTGAGTCACAGCTCTGTTCTCTGATCCGATCAGAGTCTGACTGACGATTGACTTTACTGATTTGCCATTGTAATCTGATAATCAATTGAGTCTTACATAATAGAGGTCTATTTTGAATGAAGACGGTAGAGGTGATCGTTGTGTGCCTACTCTCATGACAAGATGAGGGAGAGGGAGAGAGGGAGAGAGACAGATGTCTGAGTATAGTCCGATGTTTTAGTATAAGAGAAAGAGCGAGAGAGAAAAAGAGAGAGACAGAAAGAGAGATGGATCAGTTCTACTACAACTAAACAGCTTATCCTTAAGTATAGTCTGAGTATAGTCCGATGTTTTAGTCTGGAAGAGAGTGAGAGAGGGGTAGATAGTGGTTTTCATCAGCTCCACTACAAGTGCATATTCTATGCCTATGTCTAATCTGATGACCCATACAATTTTAAGAGATCTAATGCATAATGCTCGACACTTTTTAAGCACTGTGCGTCGCGTAAAGGGGTTAGAGATTCGCAGCTCTCAATTCGCCCTTGCCCAGATCCAAGTGCTGACGCGCGCCGATCCTGGGCTGCTGCTGTCGGTGTTGGTACCGGGTGCCGGTTGCCGTTCGCCGTTCGCCGTTTGCCGGTGCCTAACGCAGTTATCAAAAGCGTTGAATTATGGCCGCACTGGCTGCCAGCTAAATGAGCAACACGTTGCCCCGAAAGCAAACGCTCTGCCAGCCAGGAGGCAGAGGACAGAAGTCTGCTGGCTGTTGGCCGTTCGCCGTTCGCCGTTGGCTGTAGGCTGCTGCCTCGTTTCGTGGCGCTATCGCATTTGATCTCGTTTGCTGGGACCCGCAGGCCTCAGCCGTGTCTGTCGTATGAGCTAACAATGCGCATGATATCATTCATTTCTCATTTCGGTTTCATTCATTGAGCTCCTGGCCAAGTGTCGCTGTCGCTGTCGCTGTCTCCGACGCCGTTCACATTGTCGTTGTTTCGGTCCTCTGTCTGTCTGTCTGCCTGTCTGTCTGTCTGTCCCTTCAGTCCCTACAATCTCTATGTGCTTGCTGTTCGGTGTTCACTCTAATTTCATAATAAGAAACATCTTCAGAATCACAATAAATGAAAGCAAGCAATGTCCATGTCTCTCTCCCTCTCCCTCTCCCTCTCTCTCTTTCTCTCTCCCTCACGCACTGTGTGTGTTTGTTTGTATGTTGTTTATTATTAGTTTTATTGTTGTTCTTATTGTTGGCTGGCTTGGTATGCGACTGGAATTTCGGGCATTTCCGGTTAGGCCAGTGCCAAGCTGTTATATCACATTCAGCGCCCTTATAAATATAGTTATCGGGTAGAGTTATATTAATCAAACTTTATCGATTAGAAATATAACAGCCTTAATCATTTTCTTGATGCTTTGTCATAATGGTTTTTATTTTCTCTATATATATAGAAAATAATTATAGTAATTTGTAAAGAAAACTGTTTTTTT